TATGAGATCCTGGCTGCCTGCCTGGCATCTTCTCTTCCTCCACCCTTGGGAGAACAAAGGCAGCTCAAGCAGGGCCTGGGAAAAGTCACAGCCAGGACAGCAGGAGAAGCACAGGCATAGCAGTGTGAGTAAACAGCAGCTGTGGCTGGTAATAGGCTTTAGGATCAAATAACCGAGCACAGAACTCTGACCTGCAGCTCTCCTCCAAGAAAGCCCCAACCACACACCGCTGGACCACTTGGAAGCAAATGGAGGACACCTTGCTGTTCAGTGGTGTCCTATTCTTCGTGATCCAATGGACCATAGAAAAACAATACTGTCCATGGCATTTTCTTGGTAAAGATACTAGAGTGGTTTGCCATTTTCTTCTCCACTGGAGTAAGGCAAAGGTTAAATGACTTGATCAGGGCCACACAGCTAGTGTCTAAAGCTGAATCTGAATTCAGGTCTTCCTGAGCCCAGGCCCAGCATTCCATCCACTGAGTCATCTAGCTGTTCCTTCATCTAGATGAAGAATATCTAGTATCAGAAAACAGGGCCTACCTGAGTATCTTACTGTCTGCCCTGCCACTGTCCTACATACCTAAACCAACCACCCTCTAGATTTGGGACTTAACCTCCAGATACCATGTCTCTCTTCTCTGACAATGGGGATGATGGAAAGTCACTAACCCAATTCCAATAAAAGTCTTTGCATAAATAGTTGATGGGATAGAAAAATGAGTATTATGATATATCAGGTAAGCGTAGCCAATAAGTTGCTGCTTCTGTTTGGCTCTCTCTATTCCCATGAGGCATCTTTCCCAGCTATGACAGCCATAAAAACCAAGTACTGAAAAAAAAACTGACTTAAAACCAGACCATCAGATCTGTGTATTACAAGCTGTTAAACCGAGATTTCCAAAAATAATGAAGCATATTCAGTTGCATTGATCTCACAGAATATTTTTTTTACTGAGAATAAAAAGGTTTTTTGTACTAGTATTAAAAATGGTTCCATTTTTATTTCATTCTTTAAAATGTTTATTTTTGTATATGCTTTATAATATGTATAATATCTTAGTCATCAGTAAATGCATGTAATTTGTAAATTTTTTTTTTACTGAGGGAGTGGTATGATCAAAAAAAGTCTGGAGAGCACCATTTTACAAGCCAGATCTCCAAACACTTAAAAGCAAATGAGAGTTTTTCTCTAAGTCTCTTATTAGTTTCACTTTTAAAAGCCAAGGACCTGAGACAGAACAGGGTTAAGCATCTGCACATGTATCCCACAGTCAGTAAGACTAGACCCCAGCTCTCTGGACCCCAGTTCTAGACCTACACCTCAGTTCTCCAGACTTCATCCCCCAGAATATACTAATATTCTACGGATCATTAAAATTGCTCCTTAACACACTATGGTGCATTGAACCAAAAAGCAATCAACATGAGTTTGAACAATAAAGATCGACATATCTCCTCCTAGAATGGCCTGTTCTGCAAGGGAACCAGCAAGCCTCTAAAACCTGAGAGCTTCTCAGCTTCTGTAACTTGCAGGGGAACATCACAGCCATCTCGAGCAGTGCTGCCAAACTCAAATAGAAACAGGTCCCTGCCAGCCACATACTGACTTAGAAAACCACAAATTAACATTACCTATGGTTTTTTGGTTTTGTTTTTTGCTTTTTGCTAGGCAATGAGGTTTAAGTGAGTTGGCCAAGGTCACACAGCTAGTAAGTGTCAAGTGTCTGAGGTCGGATTTGAACTCAGGTCCTCCTAACTCCAGGGCCAGTGCTCTATCCACTGTGCCACCTAGCTGCCCCAACAGTACCTATGTTGTACCATATTTTTATTTATTTTGTTAAACATTCCCCAGTTATATTTTAATCTGGCTCACTTGAAGCCAGTAGGCTCTGAGTTGTAACATATCTTTGATAGCAAAGCTAAGAATAACGGGTAGAAACTACAAAGAGGAGAATCTAGATTTACCAAAGGGAAGACTTTCCATCAATGGTGCTACCCAGTGAATTCACTGGTATAGGAAAACTTCTCTACCAATGTGGAACAGAAATTGTTCCTCAGTTTACCTCTTAGAGAGTTGCCTAAGGCAGTATTTCTTAAGCTATGGCTTGTGACCTCATGGGGTTGCCATGAGGTACACAAGGTCACCCAATCAGAAGGTGTCTGAAGCTAGACTTAAACCTATGTGTTACTGTCTCTGAGGCTGGCTTTCCATCCACAACACAGGGCATCTCACTAATGATTAAGCTAGCTAAAAGTGGAGTGACAGGTCATCAGCTAAAGACTGGATGACCACTTCTCAGGCATGCTCTGGAAGGGATTTTTGCTCAGAGGTAACTGAACTAGATGGAAAAGGAAGCAATAAGCGTGTGCAGGTATAAATAAATATATGAGCTCCTTACTCATATGTGTATAGTCGTCCCTTGACATTCACAGGTTTCATATTCAGTTTTGGTTATTTGCAGGTTGGCCATCGATACATAAATGGGAATTTTTGGAGATCTGCCACATGCTGCAGAAAACTGCAGATGACACACATTTGGAAAGAAAACTTAAAAAAATTTAGTAAGTCATAAATGCATAAATACCATATGTTATTAATGTTTTTTAATCATTTACTACTATGAGCATACATACATACATTTATAATAAACAGTTAAATTTTGTTCAAGTTTCAGTGTGTTAAAGAGCTACAGGCTACTTAGTCTCTTTGGGAAGGCCGCCTCTTTGTTTCTCTACCATCCAGACTCAGTCAAGTGATTTTCTCGCACAGTGGTCTTTGGTAGAAGGAAATCTGTGAAGTAGTTGCTACAGCTACATGCTAATCTCTCTTGTGTAGAAACTACAACTTTTTAATGGGTGCAGTGTGCTGTTTTACTTGGGTTGGTTTTTTTTTTTGGTGTTAAATAAATATGATCAGAGTTATTAAAAATAAAAGTTTGGGGTGGGCTGGAGTTATTTGTAGTTTTTCACATTCTCAGGGGTTCTGGGCCCTTAATCTCTGTGAATGTTGAGGGATGACTGTGTGTGTTTGTGTGTGTATACACACACGTGTATATATACATATACATGTATACATATTACATATATGTATACAAACACATTACCTACTATGTGCTAGTATCTTTACAACTATTATTTCATTTGATCCTCACAACAAGCTGGGACGTAGATGCAATTATTATCCCCATTTTACAGGTGAGGAAACTGAAGCAAACAGTTAATTGATTGTCCAGGGTCACATAGCTAGTAAGTATCTAAGGCCACATTTGAACTCAGGTTTTCTGGATTACAGGACCAGCAATCTATTCACTGCGCCACCAGCCACCTCAGCTACCTCGGCTAGATGGCCTGTGATGTCTCTTGTCAGTCTGGGATTTTACCTTTCTAACTGGTCTCCCTTCCTTAAGTCTCTCCCCACAGATGCCAAAGTTTTCCTTAAATACAGATCTGACCATATCACTCTTCTACGCTTTCTATTGGCTCACAAACAAAATACAAACTCCTCAATTTAGCTCTTGAAGTTGAACACTCTGGCTTCCACTTAGCATTCTATGCAAATAAAGAACAACTACTGAGTCAATCTGTATTTGGGGTTTTCTGTCCTAATTCATGAGGACACATATATTACTAGAACTCTCTCAGGAAACTCCCTATCACTGAAATTTATAGCTCTCTGGACAACTAGTTGTCTTGCTTTAAGAACTCATGTTACTAGGGAAGGAAAAAAAAAAACCACTTTTTTGGGAACATTTCACGTGATCAGCAAAAGTAACCATGCAACATGGATGAAATCACTGGACACAAATTCAGTGCAGACCTGTTACGACTGGAAAATTAAGAACTATAAGAACTATTATATAGAAGACTTTTTTTTTTAAATCACAAGATGTAGTAAAGGGACTGGAATTCCATTCTCTTTTATTTTGAGGGAAAGCAGAAGTGGACAAAAAGATTTCAATCAGACAAAAAAGTTTTGTCTAAACCAGAAGTCTAAACAAAGTTAACTGAGAAAACACGAAAAGGTTTTTTGTTTTATTTTTCTTTGCACTAATACATTGTGGAAAATGCTAGTTTCAGCCAAAAAGTTTATATATTTACTTGATAAATTCTCTTGGGCACAGCATATTGATGACATGAAGGGAAGTGGACTCACGACTCTGCTAAAGCTGCCTACCAATTCAGGTGAAAGTTATTTGCCTTGTCAGAAAAACAGAAATGTAAAATGTATACCATCAATCTTGATGACATTATATTTTTTAGAAAATGCATCCTGATAGTCATTTGGTCTCCAACTTTGGTTATATCTGCATTAGGAGAATTAATCATTGAGTCTAGGAACCATCTCCTTGCTCTGATCCCTGTACGATATACCTCTTTCATAAATTTGTTCTCAGGACAACTATAAGTACAGCCCAAAGCAAAACTTTTCCTTCAGGTATTTTAAACTTTCTTTTTGTCTATTTGTTTTCCTCTTATGTTTCTGTATTTCACGTCAGGATATCTTACAAAGGAAGTTACCTTTCTCAGTTCATCTGTGATATACTATACTAAGTATTTGTGATCTTTGTTTCACCTGAGTCTTCATTACTTGATCTAAAGGTCAAATTTTCGACTATTTTAAGTTGCTTCTCTAATTTTAAAATGTGTGCTCCTACCTTGAATCCTTGGCTTCCACCATTACATACATTTAATTAAACATCAATAAGCTAAAAAACATCCAGAAGACAGCAACCAGGGACCAGGAATGGGGAGATTACAAATTCATGCCACATGATTGAATGGAAGTCAGGATATTTGACCAGGAGAAAAGAATATTTAGGGCATATCTGATCATTGCTTTCAAGTATTTAAGCTATCACATGGAGGAAGGATCAGATTTATTTTGCTTAGCCTTGGAGAGCAGAACAAGGAACAATGGGTAAAATCTGCAAAGAGATAAATTCAGGCTTAAAGGGTAGAACTTCTTAATGATTAGAGTTAGTTAAGAATGGGGCTACCTTAGGAGGCCGGTCTAGCCTTCACTGGAAGATCTTTAAGCAAGCAGTCTGTGACCCCTTGCCTGGTACATGAACAAGGGATGCTTGATCAAGTATGAGTTGGGCTAGATGGCCTCTGAGGTCTCTTCCAACTGAGATTCTGTAATTGCTGATCAAAAATATTGAAATAAAGACACTAAGATATCACCTCAAGAAAACAAAGAACTATTGCACAATCGATCGAGTATTTATTAAGCACCTACTATATTCGGGCCCTGAGCTAGACACAGAAGATGCAAATACAAAGAATGAAACAATCCCTAACCTGCAAAGAGCTGTGATACAATACTCGTGAGATAATTTTTTCCTGCTATTTTATACTCTATTTCTTTGTTAACATGTTTGAAATTCTGGCTTTACTGAATCTTATTAATCAAATACGAATGCATAAAGATAATCAAGTTATATCAAACACAAACCACTGTAAAATGTACACCCCATTTCTCCCATGATATTCAATAAATCTTGTTATAATCAATATTAGAAGACTACACAGTCCAATCTCTGCTATAAGCTGTCTTGAATACCAGATAACATTTCTGATTATCTATAAAGGAGGAAAAAAAATCAGTTAAGTATGATAAGTTTGGGACTTTTCTGTCCTCGAGAGCCATAATTAATACAATATAAGCAAACCCGGCCATACTCACCATGATATGATTCAGCCACTCGCCCATTTATAATCTGAAAGAAAATTAGTTTCATTAAGTTTAGTGAAAGTCTGTCACAGACTGTTTTAAGGCCTGTTAAACGATGACAGGTGCAATCCATCTCAGAGCATCTGGTTTGTGGTTTCTGTTACTCTTGCTTTTGATGTGTTTAAGGATATGCTTTATTTCTTAGGGTTTTGGAATACCCAAGTGTTATCCTTCCTCACTCTGGGGAGTTTAAGTGAATTGATATTGTTTGTTATAGAATACCTTGCTTCAATATACATTTATACTTAGCTATAATAGCTAACATATAGCCCTTTAAAAATTGCGAAGTACATTACATATATTTCTTACCAGATCCCTGAAAGAACCTAGTGACATAGGTACTACTGTATCCCCATTTTACAGATAAAGAAACTGAGGCTGATAGAGGTTACATGACTTACACAACTATTAAGAGTCTGAGGCAGGATTTGAATATAGGTCCTTCTGACTCCTGCTTCCTAGCTTTTCTCCCTTTGATGGGATGTGTATTAGGAGGTTATTTCATCTCTCCAAGGAAAAAAAGAGAAGTTAACCCAAAATCCACTTGCCAGATAAACTCTGGGAAGATATAGATTGGCTAGTATTATGTGTTAACTGTTCTCTCTTTTGCTTTCATTCCTAAAACCAGTTGAAAAGGTTTCCCCTCTTTTCACAATAACTTCATAGATAAATGTCTGTCTGGGTCTAAATGGCCCCATAGCAGCTGGCATCATTAATAAGACCTTCTATACCCTGCCTAGCTAGCTAACCCTTTAGTAAAATGGAGAACATTTCATTCTTATACTCTTGGTCACCTCAACCAATTACTGTTCTCAGATCACCAAGTGTAGATAATGTCGTATTCCCCAACAATCACCATCTTGGAATCTTTAAAAGGGTGCTAAGAACTTGCAGAAGAAAGGCACAGGCCAATCCCTGCCCTCAGGGAGTTTACAGTCTAATGAGAGAAGTTGTTATAGTTCAGTCATATCTCACTCCACTTGAGATTTTCCTTGGCAAAGATACCATAGTTTGCCATCTCCTTCTTCAGCCTGAGGCCAGATCTGAACTCAGAAAGATGAGTTTTCCTGACTCTTGGCCAGGCACTCTATCCAATGCACCGTTTAACTGCCGGAAAATACTAAAGTGGTTTGCTGTTTCCCACTCTAGTGGATTAAGGCAAACAGAGGGTAAGTGATTTGCCCAGAGTCACACAGCTAAAGTTGAACTCAAAAAGAGGAGTCTAGACACACATAAAAAGAAGCTGAAAAGGGGAGGTGAGATAACAGCAGAGTCAGGGGAATGATGAAGTCTTGCAGCCAGGGTGGGAAATGATCTGAAGAGATACAGAGTTGATTTCATCTTGAGTTTCTGGAGATCAGTAAGTCCAGTAGAACAATTGGATGGGAAATAATGATGTGAATGCCCTGAGTGCCCTTCTGGGGAAATTAGCAGCAGCAAAAGAGAATTTTTGAAAAATGCAATGATAAAATATCTTTCATGTATTAGATTTTAGATTGTGAGCTCCATAGACAGGCAGAAAACACAAATTTAATCTTTATATTTAATAGTACTCTGCATGCATGGACTTAAAAGTTCGTTGAAGTTGTGATTGTTAAAAATAGCAACACAAAAATATGATAGACTTTTCTGCCGTTCAATTTCTTTTTTCCTTCATATTTATTAGTGGGTTTGTGTCCACTTCAAAAGGTAGAATCCAGGAGGGCAAAGGACATGCTTTTTCTTTAAAAGACAAATACACAAAAAGAAAAAAAAACCCAAAATAAACTTGTTTCTAAGCATTTGTTAGAAAGCTGACTCCAATCTACTTTTCCATTCTTCTATTTTCTTCCCTTCAATTCTATGTGATAACCAAACTAGACTACTAGTCATTTCCCACCCTGCATCAGAACATGCCATCTTCTTATGCCTGGACTGAAAATCCTACCTAATGAAATCTCTCCCCATTAAAGCACAGCTTAAGGGCTTCAGGACACTTCCTGTATGAAGGGCTTGCATCTAAGTTTATCCTTCTTCCCACCCTTACATGTCATAGAGTTTGACTTCCCCTATAAACTTTTATTATTCTTATAGCTGACTTTTACAGTTTAAAGTTTGCAAATCCCTCTTAATTCTAGTACCTTTCTCTGTTGATCATCTCCAATTTAGCCTGTCTATAGCTTGTTTTTATAATGTTTACATGCTGTCTCCTCCTTTAGACCATGAGCTCCTGGAGAGCAGGTGTTGAAATAAATCTTTGCACAGGGCCTTGCCTTAGTGGATGAGACAACACTCAGGAAATAAGACACAGGAGCTTATTGTAGCAACCCAAGGAAAAAGTTGAGCGTAGCCTGGCAAGGAGTTTCAAACCCTGCACTCTGCTTTTGTGAACAAGTTTTGCAATAGAAGAAATACAATCCTGCCATCTCAGCTCCTCCCATATTACTTATCATAGGGAGAGGAGATTGGTGATATGCCCTTTCCTACAAACTGTCTCAAATCTAAACAAGGTTTTAAAATGGAGTCCCTTAAACGACTCAGCACAAATTTCAACAGGCTGTCTTTTACCTATATTTGTATCCCTAGCACACAGTACAGTGTCTACCACACAGCAGGCACTGAAATGTTTATTGACTGGCTGACCCAAGTTCTGTGGCTCTAAGTCCAGTACTCACTCCTACCCTATTTCTCAGCATTTGTTTCCTCATTCAGTTGGTCTAAATATCTCTCAGTCCCGTCCAACTTAACATCCTATGAGCCAGTGACATTTAAGAAAATAACCCTTACAGAACGTTTGTGCTAGTGGAAGGCATAATATAAAACACTGGACTACGAATCAGAGTATCTGGGCTCCAATCTTGGCTCTGGGTATTTAAGTATCTTGGTGGTAAAAACAATAAAGCAAGGCTCATCGTTCTCAAGAGCCTTTCAATTCAACAAGAATTAGTAGGTAAAATTTTCCCCAAATACCTCTGAAACACAAGTTTAAAGTGCCATGCAAATTTAGCCTTAAATTCTTAACAAAAAAGTGCAATTCCACTGGCTTTGTAATACCGTAGAGGAAAGGCAAGACTCAAAAAATGTTCAAAAGGCTATTTGAATGCAAGCTCTTGGGCTGAGAAGAGAGAAAGGAGCTAGGACTTCCTGGCATTATCAAGGGGTCAGTCTTACTCACCCTACCACGGGAGTTGGAGAAGTAAATAAGGGTCCTGGATCCAGACCCCTTTCAGGGCTACAGTCTGGAGAGTGTGTTGGGATAAGTGAATTTCAGGCTTAACTGTATTACTCCCATTCACTTACATAACTAGCTAGGGTCTGCAAAATCAAACTAAAATATTAAACTATAGGTATTAATTGGTTAGTTTGCAAATTCCAGCCTGAGCTATTTCACTGACTAGTTTTCAGTTTTACCTGATACAGATCTTCTCCTGAATTCTGTAAAATTCCATTGTATCCATTCTGCCTATGTAACCAAAACCTATATAATACAGCTCAAAATTGCTGCTCACTGACTCCATGATTTTTGTATAATGTGGGTCAGGTTCTGAGAGTAATAAACTGTTTCTCCATATTTCTGTATCATTAAGTAAGTAGGAGCAGCCTGGTAGCTAAGGAAGCCCAGACAATTTCTGTCACATGGTTTCAGGGGCAGGAGGGCAGGAAGTTGGTGGTGAATTTCTACACCTTTAATTGGAAACCCTCACAAGAGCCCACTATCACTGGGCAAATGGACATAGTCATACAGAGCTGCATTTATTATCATATATAAAACTACAAAACAGGATGGCTAAAGATTCCCACCCTCAACCCTTTTCCCTCCACCAATTTCTCGATCTGTAAAATGAAGTTGTGTCAGATCATTTCTAAAAATCCCAGTCGTTCGGCTAGGTGTGGCCTTAAGCCTTCCTGTCTCTCAAACGCAGATCCGACAAAACGAACTGCAGGCATCCAAGAAAGAGATCAGGGTCTTCCTCTCCAGTCCTTACGAAGCTGAAGTCTTCCAGCTTTACAGGCTTCCTTCAAGTCCAGCTAAAACCCCACTTTCTACAACAAGTCTTTTGCAATTCCTCAATGTTAGAGCCTTCCTGCCCTCCCTCTGTTGATTATTTCGAATTTATCCTGTCTATAGTTTGTTTGTATATAGTTACTCGTATGTTGTTTTCCCCATTGGACTGTGAGCACCTTGAGGGCTGGAACTATCTTTTGCCTTTTTGGGGGGGGTATCCCCAGCTCTTAGCTCTGGTCCTGATACATAGTAGACGGTTAATAAATATTTATTGACCAACGAGAAAAGACTGCAGCAAGTCCATGCATCCTGTGCCACACCTGCCCTGCAACGCTGGGAATTCAGCTCAGGGGCTCAGGTTAATCCAGGGCTGCTTGGCACTGCTCCTAAAGCGTCCCCTTAGAGAAAACTAGCCGACTTGCCTCGAGAGAAGAGCCGGGGCCCTTGCCCCCACTGTTCAGATCAGACTGCTCAATGTCCACCTCCATCTTCGCTTCCCTTTCAGCATCCACGGTTATCAAAGCGCGTTCCGCCCATCAGCTCAGTCTGGGCACCAGACTCCGCTATCTTCTGCCTTCCAGCTGCCGGACCCCTCCCTTCCGGGTCTGATCCTTCTCCCCTCCGGTCTGATCGTTCTTCTCCCATGGGGGAGGGGTCCTATTCCTTCCTACCCATCCCCCCAGACTAAGCCTTCCCCCTCCCATGCATGGCGCCAGAACCTCGCCCTCTCTCCCTCCAGGCTTAAAGGTCAAGGTCGGAAAGCCCCGAAGGCCGGGGCGGGAGGGGGAGCCCCCGCTGCAGCAAGGAGCCACCGGCCGTGGGAGCTGGGGAATGGGAAAATAGGGGAGCCCTGGCGTGAGGGCTAGGAAAGAAGGAGGTGAGGGGACGCAAGGGATGCAGTATTCCTACCTGGGCGGGAGAGAGAAAAGCTGGGACACGCCCTGCCCCGGAACGCTCATTCCTCTCCTTTCCAGCCCCAGGGTGAAGTCGCCAACGCCCACCTTGGCGCTCCACCCGCAGGCTCTCATCCTCTCCCCCCGCCGCCCCCGGCCCGCGCCAGCCTCCCAGCAGACTGGGAAGGGAAAAAAGCGAGGTGAGGGAGGGGCAAACGGTAAAACCGGGTCACGTGAGCCGGGCGAGTTTGCAGGCTGCTCCAGGCTGTGGGCCAGATTTTCTTTTCTTTTTAATTATTTTTATTTATTTCGTTAAATATTTCCTAATTACATGAAAAATTTTTTTTAACAATAATTATTTAGAATTTCGAGTTCCAAATTCTCTGCCTCCCTTCTCGCCCTTCCCCGCTTCTTGAGAAGGCAAGCAATTTTATGTATATTGTACGTGTGAAATCATGAGAAACATTTCCTTATTAGCCATGTTGCAAAAGAAAGCAATAAAAATAAAGTTTTGAAAAAGTATGCTTCAATCTGCATTCAAAGTTCATCCGTTCTTTCTCTGGAGGTGGATAGCATTTTTGATCATGTTCAGTTGTTGTAGTCCTGTCCCACTCTTTGTGACCCCATGTAGGGTTTTCTTGGCAAAGATAATGATTTGTCATTTCCTTCTCCATCTCATTTTACAGATGAGAAACTGAGGCAAAAAGGATTAAATAATTTGCCCAGGGTCACACAGCTAAAAAGTATCTGAAGCTGTATTTGAACTCAGGAAGCTGAGTCGGGCATTCTATCCACTGTGCCACCTAACTGTACCATTTCATCACTGGTCCTTTGGAATGTCTTGGATCACTATATTGTTTAGAGCAGCTAAGTCTTTCACAATTGATCATCCTTACAATATTGATGTTACTGTGTATAGTGTTCTAGTTCTGCTCACTTCACTTTAAGTTTATATAAGTCTTCTCAGATTCTTCTGAAACTGTCCTGCTTGTCATTTCTTATAGCACAATAGTATTCCATCACAATCATATACCATAACTTGTTCAGCCATTCTACAGTTGATGGGCATCCCATTGATTTTTTTCAACTGGATGCAAACTGGCCTCTAACCTGTAGGTCAGTGGAGCCAAAGAAACAAAGCAGACTAGATACAGTAGAGTCAGGACACAAAACAGAAGTTTAATTAATTTCAGATTGAGGAAAATGTCATATACATAGAGAAGGCCCCCCTCCTCCCCACCTCCAGCTAGACTAAAAGCAAGTCTTATATAGATCCTTGACTGGACCATGATATAATCATTTTTAGGTCCTGAGTTACTGTTCCCATGGGCCTTGGGGAAACAGTATTGTCTCACGTCTTGGGGGTCTTGCCTACCTTGTGGGGCACAGAACCAGAGTTCTGTCACAGGAACAGGAGTGTAGTACCTGGCAGTGACAAGAAACAGGTATTGTGAATATGTGATGAATGGCCCTGGGAAATAAGGGGAGCTTAATCCCTCAGTTAATACCTGCTGCTGGTCCAAGTAAAATACTTTGCCAGAGGGTGATATCATCCTGAGCACAAAGGATTATTGTTATGTCAAGCTCAGGATACAGCCCGCTTGCTGGGCCTTAGCTCTGGGAAACAGAGTATCTCCAAAATATTTTGACATTTCCCCTTTTTTGGCCAAAGGGGGGGGGGGTGTCTGAAAAACCCCCTACCCTTTATGGCCAATAAAGGAGAGGCAGTTATAAACCAAGGTGCCATGGGATATTGTCCAAGGGGTTAGTTCCTTAAGGGGACCTGTCAGGGAAGTATATCCCAGGTGTCATTGCTAACCATTGTTTGAAAGGGGGATGGGGCCCAACAATGTCACAGTGAGAAAATGCCAACACAGGCTTGAATGCGACTTTGGTGCTTGGCTGCATAACAAAAGGGGGAGAGAGAGAGAAAAAAAAGCTAAGAGAGTAGACTCGGTCTTCCTTTGGAAACTTGGGACAGCTGTCTCATCTGGATGTGGGCTGCTTCTTCGTCCAGGAGCAGGGGCTTGCTTCAGAAGATGTAGGATTAAACAATGCAATAAAGTTTTTCTCACAATTACCATAATTGCATAATTACATTAAGTCAGGTACAGATCAAATTATTGGAGGGCTCACAATGGACTAGTTCTGAGAAGTGAGATTTACATGTCATCAAGGTAACCAAGAAAACTTAAACATTAACATCTTTGTCTTATCACCTTGTCTAATAATTTCCCCCTTTTAAAGGATATCGTCCTTATAAATTGACCATAAATATAGGTTAAAACTGTAAGATGTTCATACTTGAATCCTATTATAATAACTCACAGATGTTCCAGTATCAATCTATTATTTAATAAACTTAGTGTGGTTATTTATAAAACTTCTTGATTATAGAAATTTGCTACAAAAGCAAAAAGAGGGATATAATTATATTGTAACAGAGGGAAAAACTCCCTTAGTTCTGTTGGGGAAAAATTCTCTTAGCTTTATTTGATTACAGGCATGAGTCATATCTAACAGCCAATAATGTAGCCAGAGAGTGTCAAAGGCAAGGCTTGGGATTAACCAGATGGGGAATTTTTCTTTTCAGCAAGGAAATAGCACAATGGGGAAATAGAGTCAGGAGGATCCTATGCAGGCTGTGTCCTAGGTTATCCTCACAACCTTTCCCAGGCACAAACATCTACCTTTAAGCAGTTCTCAGACTGCCACACATGTCACTTTCTGCTATTGGCTTTATGACTGTTCAGATAACTATCCCAGGAATCAAAACTCAAAACAACAGTAAATTTACAGTCCCAGGAATTTTTACCTAAAATAGCATAATTTCACTTAGAGCTTGAATAGCTTTCCTAATATTTCCCTAATAGCATTTCATTAATTCTTAACTTATAAAATAAAACTACCCATATTCTGGGGCTTCTTTGTGTTTCATTGCTTATTAAAAAAAAAATTAAAGTTTAGTCACTATCCAAACACTGGAAGAAAAGTGCAGATTTAAAAAAAATTCCAAATTGCTTTTGAAGAAGTGATTTAATAATTGTAATGGCTGACTTTTACATCACACTTTACAAAAGGCTTTTATGACAGCCACCCTGCAAATATTATTCGTGTTTTAAATTTAACCACCAGACAGCACTGATAGATACTGTTGACTTCCTTACTCACCCTGGAAGTTTGTATATTTCCTGCTGAGTGGAAGTGTTCATGTTTAATAAGTGCTATGCTGTATGGTGATCAGAAAGTCTGAGGCTTCTTATCCTTTATCTTCGACTCTCACTCCAGGTGGTGGTTCACATGTGAAATCTATCCATTAGAACTTAACTCACAGCCCCTGCCTCTTTTTGGGCATTCCGATTTCAGTGATCCCTAGTCAGTGACTATAGCATAATGGAGCTAGTTTCTACCATATATCCTATCACATGTTAGAATGCTATACATCCTATTTGAATTGATTATGAATTTATAAAATTATGAAATGGGGGCAGGTACAACCCAGTTCTTTGGGTACTTATTGGGACCACAATTGGCTGTGGAAAATGGCAGCATTCACACTTTAAAGACAGAGGATATGGGGGTAAAAAGCCCATAAAGCCAGAGACAAGTGTCAAAAAGTGGGGAGGGATACAGAGGCAGACAGCGGTATGGAAACAAGGGATGGGATGGTAAAGGTAGGTAGCCTGGAAAAGAAGATGGGGAGGAGGAAAGGCAAAGAATATCAGTCATGTAAGCATGGACTGGAGTTGGGAGCACTAGGTAGCATGGACCTGATGGAAGAGCACGGGGGTTTGAGTGTATGTTGGACAAATAAATACACCTACTAAGCCATTTCTTAGGAAGGAGACACAGGAGGGCTTCTAGCACCTTTCTTACTAGCAGGTTCTCTTTTGATCTGGTCAGACAGGAAGACAGGAATGGAGTCATAATAAGGGGTTAAATAAGCTTACTTTATTCAAGTCTAGTCCTCTCAAAGGGAGTTTGCTGATAATGGGAGCACCAACTCCTACAGTATTCCCTAATGACCCCTCTTTCAGGGGCTGGTGTGAAGTGGGGCAAGTATGCCTCATTTCAATGGGGCCAACTGAGACCAGCACAACTTGTGTACTCCCCCTGAATCCCCTCAAGCCTCAGTGGCGCCCCCCACCCCACCCCAGCCAGGCCTTGATGGGGGTAGGCACAGCATTCAGCCTGCACATTCACCCCTACGGGGGTCCCTAGTCACTGACCAGTACCCACTTGCTTTATAGGGCAACAGACAAAGAAGGCATACTGCCAGCAATAGCCTCACAATTTTACACCACTTCATCCCCATATTTACTGTGTGGTTGTACAGTAGAAAGTGTCTTGAACCATGATCGTGAGAACTCATATCTAACACCTGGGAAGTAGAGATTGTTATGGCTATAGATCCTGGGAAGAAAACTCTAAGAAAGAGTAACAAAAAATCCACTTTGTACACACTAAAATTCACTTTACTTACAGTGTAGGACTTTGAGGTCTCATTTTTATAGGGTTTTTTTTTGGGAAACAGAGCAACTTCTATCTGTGCCATACAGGAGTTAGTTTATCAACGTATTCAAATCATCTCAAAGTTATGGGTAAAACTGCAAAGGTATCAGTACTTTTTGATGTTGTACTAGTCTAGAGCTGTGGAGGTCTGGAATTTGTCTGGAATTTACATATCATAGGACCAGAAACCTTGACAAGCAGCACCTAGATGGCTCTTCCTGATTGATCACATATTACCAGGATGTGAATATTAGTTAATATATGATACAATTTGTAAATAATCCTCCTTTGATCTTTGGGATGATTTATACATGACTTCCAGGTTCCCCTTGGCAATCTTATTTTATAATATAATTTATATATATTTTATACTGGCTACTTATAAACCTGCTGATTGGATTCTGGGTGAGGGTGTGGAGAGATGGGGTGGGGGGGTGGGGAGGGTTGGTCAAGAAGACCAGAACAAAGATACATTTTTAACATAACAGTTTTGCTCTTAATAAAGACTCAATACGTAAGTAAGTAGTACTGAATAGCCAGATAACACAACATATAATAATAAATATATATCTACCAAGCAGCTGAGAGCTCATCACTCTCCTAAACCTGGGAAGTCTCCCTTTGTCCCCAGCCAGTTCTAGGCAGTGTAGTTTGAGTCCTCCCTTCAGTGTGAAGAGGAGAGTTAACGCACACAACAGCATTAAAGAATTTGAAAGTCGGAAGGGACCTCAGTAACCATCTAGTGCAACTCACAGATGAAAGACATCTCCACTATGATACACCCAACAAGCAGTCATTCAGCTTCGATGTGAAGACCTCCGAGGAGGGGGGAGCCCAGCACTTCTTAAGGGAGTCCTTTCTATTCTAGGACAACTCATTGTGAGGAAGTTTTTCTTGGCATCAAGTCTAAATTTACCTCTTTGCAATTTCTACCTATTGCTCCTGGTTTTATCCTCTGGGATAGAAAAGAACAAGTCTGATCCTTTCTCTGCCCTTCAAACTCTTAAAGACAGCTATAATGTCCCCTGTAAGTTTTCTCTTCTCCAAGCTAAAAATCCCAACTTTGTTCTGTAGATTTTTTTATGGGAGGGTCTCCAGTCTGTTCACCATCCCGTTTTCCCTTTTCTGGTTGCAGTACTGTTCATCAGTTCCTTCCTAAAATGAGGTCCTTAGAACTGAACACATGACTCCCTTCTCCAGGTTTCATGTGGCTTCTCCTCTTCCCCACAGTTCTTTAGAATGTGAGGGGCTATCTTGTCAATCTAAATCAGGCTCTCTCCCAGTCCCAATTTCTGGGGAAAATCTCCCCAAGAGACTGAGGAGGGGAACTGTGGGAGACCTCCACCTAAAACCATCTCTAGCCTTTTGATCCTGGGGATGGTTGGATTAGGTATGGCCAAGGCAGTGTTACCAATGCCTCCATTTCCTCACTTCCTATTCCACTTGAAATACTTTTGTAATCACTAAGACTCTGGTTTCCAAACCCATCACTCAACTAAAACCGACTCTCTAAGGTTACCAAGGTTCTTTTAACTGTTAAGTCCATTTATCTTAGTCCTAATTCTACTTGACATCGGTGCAGTGTTTGATACTGCTGACTGTACCTTTCTTCTGGATGCTCTTTCCTCCTTTAGCTTCTGAAATTCTGTTCTCTCTTGATTCTTCTGCTTCTATTCTATGTCATTGTTATTTTTGAATCTCCTTTGCTATATAATCACCCATGTCCTACTCCCTCACTGTGATTGTTACCTAAGGCTATAACCTTGGCCCTACTATTAACTTGTCTATATGATATGTCTCTTGGTAACCAAATTCATTAGCTCCCATGCATTTAAATATAATTTCTACACAGACAACTCCCAGATTTACATATCCAGTTCTCTTCTTTCTCCTGAGTTCCATGTCTTCACATTGCTGCTCTGTCTTCCATTCTCTTCGAGAATGAAGGACAAACAACAACAGCTTTGTCTTTCAGATCACCTGAATATTTACTGGAAGAGAATGAAATATGCCACTTCAGTAAAGAATATTATTTTGTAGGGGAAAGAATAGTGACCATTCATTCATTCAACAGGTAACTACTGAATATCTGCTTTGTGGAGAGAATTAGATTTAGTCAGGTATCTCCAATGTGGGGGCCAGGCCCCACAGAAAGTTATGAAATGACCACACTGGGGTTATGGTTTGATGACAATCCATGGGGTGATAAACCAATCAGAAGATAGTAGGATAAGTTTCATTCCCACTTTTCCCTCCCATAACCACCCCCAGCCAATCTTCCAGTGAGTCACAAAACTTGGTCCCTCAAGCAGGTGCCAGACCCAGATACACACAGCAATGAGAAGGCCAATTTTCACACACCCCCTTCTACTCCATTGTCCTTACATCCTATTTCCCATCAACATAGGAGGGTGCTGTGCTCTGTGGACATAGCCATTGAGAAAGAGTTGCTATGTCTCATACCTCTTACAGTTGAATGAATTTAAATAACACAATCTTTTCCTCCACCTCCTCTTCTGAACTTCCTTATTTCTGTGGAGGGCACAGCCATCCCTCCACTGTCCCAGCTTTTTGACATCCTTATCCTTGATTCCTCACTCAGTCAAACCTCTCTCTTCGAATTTACCAATGATATATTAATAGCCAAATCTGTTGGATTTTTCTATTCTCACTTTTCATTCTTCTTGAACTATTCGTAGCATTGACACTGTTGACCACTTGTGAGCCATATCTAAATCAGACACGAGGACACTTATAATTTATATAGGCAACATGCTATATACCATACCCCTTACACGCTTTAAATACAACAGTCTAAAGGCTTTAATATTAAATGGTGTACAGCTAGCATTATAACTGAGTCTTTTCTGTCCTTGTTTCTCAATTCAACCTTAATAAATGCTTGTTAACTGATTGCTTTAGAGCCTAGACACTGATATTAAAAAAATAACTGTGATGTAATAGAAAGAATTTTGGGTCTACTTGGATTTGAACCTTGGTTGTGATGCTCACTAGCTGTGTAACTTTGGGCAAGTAACAAAGTCATAGGTTCCAAGTTCAAAGGGCCCTCAGAAACAATTCGGTTCAACCCATCCTTGACTAAGAATCCCCTCTAAAACATTTCAGGCCTCTGCTTAGAGACCTTAGGTAAGGGAGAACCCACTGTGTCTCAAGAAAATCCTTATATTATTATCCCACTTTGGGATAACTCAAATTGTTGGGGAACTTGGATCCTCCCTACTGCAATGATGGAGCAGAAAGGCTTCATCCTATGGGTATGGAGTGAGAGAGGAAGTTTTCAAAGGAAATGACAGCTTACAACACAGAGGAAAAGTGCCACCAGGTGAGATCATAGGATCATAACTGGAAAGAACCTTAGAGGCCACAGACACTTTACAGACTGAGGCTCAGAAATGTTAAATGATTTGCCCTGGGTTACACAGCTAGCACGTGTCTAAGGTAGGATATGAACCCAGGCCTTCTGACTCCAAGTCCAGTAACTTAGCTACTATCTGTCAGTCTAGGTCACTGAAATTGGACTGGGATAATATAGTCAAGATCAGGAAGAGACATCAAGGTGACATGGTAGTGGTGAACTTTTGGCTGTGACCTGCTCCCTAAACTGTAAGGTAGCTGAAGTGAGAAGTCTAAGGCCAGCAGTAGTACAGCAAAGACAAAAATATTGAAAGTCCTTGATCCTGAAGAATCAATGCCCCATTCTAGGAGGGCCCAGGTCTCAGGTTTCCAAGGTTTAACTAAAGACTGGTCCTTCTGGATGTGTGAATATACCAAGTTATACTGTTTATCATTCTTTGGAGCAGGGACTGTAGGGGCTAAGCAAACTGAACTGTGATTTCCCTCAAACTCTCAAGTCCAGAGCAGACTGTGTCCTGTCTGGACACTGCCTACAGGGTGCAGATGAAGGGCAGATGCTTTATTATGTATTGTTTATTGCTTTTATTTATTCTGTGCCAAGCATAAAATGCTGTGTACAGTATCTCAGCACAGTCATTCCTAAGGAGAGGTGACTCCATGATGTGAAAGTCATATGACTAGGGCTCTGTGAAATATAGCAAGTTCAGGGTGGGATTGGGAAAGAGTGGGATTGGCCAGAGGGGAGAGCTTGGGAGCTGATTTTGGTAGGGTAAATCCCCAAGAAAGTAGGAATCCATCGGGGGTGGGGGGCGTGCTTGGTTGTAGAGGTGTGTCTCGAAGGGCTAGTCTTCTAGGTTACTTGATTCAATGCAGGATTAATGTTTTAGCCTATGGAGGGGTCTGGTGAGATAAAGAAGTGCCTATGCTTGTTTCTAAAGCCCTTAACATTAGTGTATTCAAAATACTTAAAGATATATTCAATTATAAGATAAAGATTATGGTACTATCAAATTACAGAGACAAATTAATCCAGTTTCTGGACTAGAGTGTAAATTCTCACTTGCGGTAAACGTTCATTCAAAAAAGGTAAATGGCTTATGTATTCTACTTAAAAGTGCATCAACGACAGTTAATCAGTTGCCAGTTTCTACTGTCTTTAGGAAGCAGCTTTGTGGTGAGATTTTGGGGGGCTGGGAATGGGATTTAACAAATGAATAAATAAAAAAGTATTTATTAATGTCAGGATCCCTGTGCCAAGACCACCCCTCTCTTTTTACTATTAGGAGACAGCCTGTTTTCCAAAGCTAAGGCCTAGGAAGCAAACTGTGCCCTGAGCTTGACATAACAACAATCCTTTGCACTCACCCTCTGGATGATATTAGCCACAGCAAAATCCCAGAATTGTTTCAGACCAGCAACAGGTGGCCTCTGAGCGTGGACAAGCACCTGTAGTACCCGTGTTCTGGTCATGGAGTCCTGATATGAATCAAATGCGTCTCATTGCTGCTGTTATCCCTCCATGGTCGGGCTTACTGCCTAGCCATAGGTATAAGTAGTGAGACTTGTCCACAGTAAAGCGGGTCTCTTATCACAGGGGCCCTGGCACATATGTGTTTAGTTTCTCTTCTCCAATGGAATGAAAAAAGCTTTTTGCTTATAACCACTGTTGGCTCTTTGGTTTTATTTTGTTTTATTTTATTTTTAGAGTTAACTGTGGTTTTAATAACCTGTATGAGCTCTCCAATTTTTTGTTTTGTTTTGTTTTTTGTTTTGTTTTGTTCTTGAGTTAACTGCAGTGCCACAGCTGCTGTGGCCATCTGGTGATTTATTTTGTTTTTCAGAGCTAGCAGTTGGAGCACTACTTCTGTGAGCTCTCTGGAGTTTTGTTTTTTTGTTGTTTAGAGTTCACAGGTGGTTGTGTGACCTCTGTGACTCTTTGGTCATTTAGATAGGGTTGATATTAAGCAGTATGTGACAAGCACTCTACTAAATACTGAGGAAACAAGTAGAAAAATAAGACCAAGAAACTTACAGGGTGAATAGAAAGGCCCAGAAGTCCTTAAGTTGCAGCTAGCATGGATCTCAAGGCCCAGGGTTCTTACGGTTAGATAGCAGTGTTCAGAGGGCACAGAAACAGGGCAAATAGTAAGGCCCAGAAGTTCTTCATCTTACTGGAAGAAATGAGTTTGGTGATTCCCTGCTCACCTAGGTAGTAGGTCCGCTTCAAAAAGCTGGAGGTTTGGAAGGGCCTCACCAAGCACCACTGGGAAGGGGGCAGGGATAGACTTTATGTTCTGAGTAGAATGGGATTCCTGGGCATTCTTGAATAGCTGTGGGGATGTTGGGAAGGGATGAGGAATTGCGTGTAAAGTTGGGAAAGAGAGTAGCCTGACCATCTGACGTCCTTATGGATTGTCATAAAGCCCTTCTATGGGTAAGGTTGGGGGCAGGGAGGAGGAAGGGGAGGAAAAGGAGCAGGGTAGAGATCTTTGTCCTTTGTCTCTCAATGTCTTCCTATATCCCAAAAGATATTCCCTGACATAGCTTTCTTCCACAGTCATACTCTGACTTACATGCAAACTCCTTTAAAGAAAAGGATTATAGGGGCAGCTAGGTGGTATAGCAGATAGAGCACCGGCCTTGAAGTAAGGAGGCCCTGAGTTCAAATCTGGCCTCAGGCAAAAATCTTGATATTTACTAGATGTGTGACTTTGGGCAAGTCATTTAACCCCAATTGCCTGAAAAAAGAAAAAAGAAAAGGATTATAGAATGACATAGAAGTTATTTGGTCCAATTACCCTATCCCTTTCCTGAGATCATAAGTTCCCATCATCAAAGCCTGTCAAGTAGGATGATTTAGTGGTAAAGTGGGGAAAAAATATGGATCTAGAGTCATGGAACTTAGGTATGAATTTTGGCTCTAATGTTAATTACCTATAAGATCTGGGGCAAGGTTCTTTACTTTTCTGGGTCTCAGTTTCCTTTTCTATAGAATGAAAGGCATGGCAATAAAAATTATTCAACCTACAATACGAGACACTGAAGGTCCATTGTCTCCTCTAATAAAATGGACCTCAGATTTTCCTCACAATCTGAGATGCCCCCTCCTTCCAGGACCCTGTTTTTATAGGGCTAGCTATCTAAACATTCAAGAGCAGCTGTACCAAATACAGAATAATTCCACTGGTTGACATGATGCATAGACTAAAAATGATCTGTCAGTAGAGTCACGAGTTGGATGAAGCAAAGAATATCTCCACTGACTAGGTGGTTAGAAGGTGGTCATAAGAGGGACATCTTCTCATGATGGGCAAGAGAGAATCACCTGGAGGTACAAAAATGATTTTTGGGGACTCTCCATGTAGTTGAGTCTCCTCCACCACACTGGGCTTGGTCACCATGACAAGGAAGAACAACGGTGGAGGGCTCTTCCTATGATTATGCAAGTGATCATCTGCAGCTCACAGCTCTGGGGCCAAATATTCAGAACATATCATCATTACCGCTATGGAATGATAATGAACTAATACTGATTGGAATAAAGTAGGGGTCCTCAGTGAATCAACTTTCTCAAAGGGCTGGACTTAACAATCTTTAAGTCTCCTTCCATCTCTAAATCTATGAACCTGTGAACTTAACTGCTCTCCAGACAGTCCTTTTACCTCTCTGAGTTTCAATTCCCTCATGTGTAAAGTGAAGGAGAAAACAGGATGCTGCTGCCCTCAAATGAGCAGGTAGCTCAGCATTGGAGTTAAAAGGATCTTATTTTAGGAGGGCATACTCTATTTGTTGTTTAGTCATTTTGGTTGTGTCTGACTCTTCATGACCCCATTTGGGATTTTCTTGGCAAAGATATTGGAGTGGTTTGCCATTTCCTGCTCAATCTCATTTTACAGAGAAGGAAACTGAGGCAAACAGGTTAAGTGACTTGCCCAAGGTCATACAGCTAGTAAGTGTCTGAGGCCAGATTTGAACTCAGGAAGATGAGTCTTCCTGATTCCAGGCCTGGCACTCTACCCATTGTGCCACCTAGCTGGGGGAGCCTATAGTTAGATTAGGGTTGTTGCTCATTGATTCACTTGAACTTTGAGGAAAAATTGCTAGAACAATAATGTAGAATAAGAAAAAAAGACAGTTCTTAGATAATTTTTCATATAGTTTAGATTTTTATAGTAAGACATCAATCTTTTTTTTCTTTCTTTATTGACCTGAATGAAATAAATGATGGTTTCTGTTTTCCTGCTGATCACTTTCATTGATCATTTATTGATTTCTGACTACACGCTTTTTCCAGATAAACTAAATTCATGGTCTTTACTAATGAAAAAAGCCTGATTAGTATAACTGAATACTGCTTGTCATATAACAAAATTATTGTTAATTAAGTTTAAATAGAAAAGACTAATATTGTATATAAATGAACATATCTGCAAGAAGGCTTTCCCAGTCCCCCTTAATGCCAGTGCCTTCCCTCTATTGATTTTCTCTAATTTATCCTTTATATATCTTGTTTGTATATAGTCACTTGCATGTTGTCTTCCCTGTTAGCCTACTAGTTCCTTGAGAGTAGGAACTATATTTTGCCTTTCTTTGTGTTCTCAGCACTTAGCACAGTGAATGGCCCAGAGTCTGCTTTGATTTTATTCAATAGATAAGGGACAGATGATTTCAACTACTTCCTGTGTATCCTTGCAATAAATTTTTCTTTCTTTCTCTTTCTTTCTTTCTTTCTTTCTTTCTTTCTTTCTTTCTTTCTTTCTTTCTTTCTTTCTTTCTTTCTTTCTTTCTTTCTTTCTTTTCTTTCTTTCTTTCTTTCTCTCTTTTTCTTTCTTTCTTTCTTTTTTTTTCTTTCTTTCTTTCTTTCTTTCTTTCTTTCTTTCTTCTTTCTTTCTTTCTTTCTTCTTTCTTTCTTCTTTCTCTTCTCTTTTCTTCTTCTTTCTCTCTTTTCTCTTCTCTTTCTTTCTTTCTTTTCTTTTCTTTTCTCTTCTTTTCTTTCCTCCCTCTTCTTTCCTTCTTTTCCCTTCCCTCCTTCTTCCTCTCTCTCTCTTTATCTTTCTTTCTTTCTTCTTCTTCTTCTCTCTCTCTCTCTCATCTCTCTCTCTCTCTCTCTTTCTTTCTTTTCTCTCTCTCTCTCCCTCTTCTCTCCCTCCCTTTCTCTCTTCTTTCTGTCTTTCTTTCTTTACAAATAATTTTCTACAACCCTGAGCATAGATCGCCAACACTGTATGATAATATATCCTTGACTACTGTAGCACATGCTCTGTGGCAACTATACAAATTTGTACCTTCACTGACAAGTTGGGTTCCCAGAATGTGGCTATTACATCCTCTTAGTGGTCTAGGGTTAGCCCTGGGGAGTTGTGTGGTATCTTTTCTAGTGCTATATCATTTACCACTCCCCCCATTCCCCACCCCTATATGTTTCTCCCTATGATTATTTATCATATTTTTATATATTACATATATAGTATATTTCATATAGTATGTTATATGATGTACTATATATAACAGCATATGTGTAGCATATATTATATATACTATATATTTATGTATCTTTTTTTGATATGTAGTTATTTGATATCAATTAGTCAGGCAGAGTTATTTAGCTTTTAGAAGGAGGTATTTTACTAAGGTGGTACAGTATGGACAGTTGGTACAAGACAAAAGTCCCCCCACCTCAGATATATGACACTCTCTCTTACCAGTATATATAAAGCCCAAGGGAAACTGGGCTCAAGCTTACAGAGGGATGGTAAAGAGGTAACAGATCCTGTAAGTCCTTTTGCTAGAGTTCTCAAGATGTTCCTCATAGGTATGGTAGAACTTTTGATTGGAGTCTTTGTAGAGCCGCGAATCTACTTTCATCATGTTATTCAGTCTGTCTTTGGCTCCTGATGCAGTCACTGGGGCCAGTGGAAGGACACTGCTAGGATGGCAATGAAAAAGTTCAAGTCCTCCAACCTTCCAAAGTTAACAAGGTACTCTTCCAGTCAAGAGGAGGGGAGTAGGAGGCTGAGTGATTAATTAAAAATTAATTGATTTTCAGGGGCTTCACTGGAATGGCTATTCTTTATGCTGGCAAACTCTTGAACGCCAATTTGAATTCCTGGCTTTGTACAGGCCTCACAGGGTATTTACCAAGTTCTTTGGTCAATTTGAATAGACATTTAGTTGATCAAGATTTTTTTCACATTTGATTTAAAGAGGATGATTGATTGAATGACTGATTGAATAGAAAAATGTTCACCTTGCCTGATCAGGTATCAGGGCCTAGCATCTTGATGCTCTAAATGAGGTAGTGTGACTTTATTGATTTACTTGATTAATGCTCACATACTGTTATCCTACTTATGCTCTTCACTTTTCTATCCTCATCAAACACCCTTTTCCCAGTTTCCTTCAAAATTCTTAGTCCTTCACGCTCCGCAACCCCATGTTTCAGCTTTCATGTTGTTTCTCTCCCATTCCATTCAACTACTTTAACTCCTCTGTTCCCTAATTCTTTTCAGCCTCCCCATACTCCTCCAAACCTTCATTCCTCCATCCCTTTCAACTTTCCACCCACCATTCCTCTCAATCCCTTCCATTGCTTTTAATGCCCAATCAGAAAGCAGCACCACCAGGAAGCCCAAACAGGATGTGGACCCCAAAACAATAGAAGGGACTTTCCCTATGTAGGTACCTGCATGGTAATAGCAAAAGCTGTCCTTTAGGTGAACTTATGAAATAAAAAAATCTTTAAATTCCCAAATCTGTCTTGCTTTCACCAAAGTTGCTGATTCCTCTTGGAACTTAGCACACTTCATGACAGGCATCAATCTCAATAAATGCCTATACATGGATTACAGGTGGTCTGACTGAATTCTTTGAAATGGTTCTGCCACAAAACATCATGAAACCGCAACATATATATCCATTTGATCCTCATTTCCCGGTGAGGTAAATACTACAGGTATAATTATTCTTATATTATAGATGAGGAAACTGAAGCTTAGAAAAGTTAAATTATCTATTCATGTTTATATAATTATCAAGTGTCAAAGCCAAGATCTAAACCCAGTTTTTTCTGACTTTTAAGTCCAACACTTCTTCCACTATAGTACTCCACTGCCTTGAATGTCTCAGTTTGGTATTTAAAACTCTTCATAGTCTGACTCTAACCTACCTTTCCAGACTCCCATTTTACTTTAGTTTCCATATACTACCGATGTTCCAGCAAAAATACCTTATTTATTGTTCCTGGAAGCTACCAATGACTTCTTAATTGCCCAATCTAATGGTCTTTTCTCAATCGTTATCTTTTTTTTTTAGCCCCGTCTAGAAGTTCATAATGTTGGTCCCCGGTTCCTCTGAATTTACTATCATCTCTGAGATTTTGTAACTGCTCTGTCTTGTTCCTTTTCCTACATCCCTGACTGCTCCTTTTGAGCTTCCTTTGGTTGATCTTTTTCTTTTTAAATTCACTTTTAAACTGCAAATTTGCTCTCCTTTACCCATTGAGAAGGCAAGAAAAACATAACTCATTACAAACATGTATACAAAACAAATTCCTGCATTAGGCATGTCCAAAAAAAGAAAGGAAGAAAAAGTAAATATATTTCAATTTCTTCTTTGAGTTCATCAGCTCTCTATCTGGAGGTGGATAGTATGCTTCATTATGAGTACTTTGGAATTGTTTGGTCAGTATATTGATCAGAGTTATTATGTCTTTCAAAGTTTATTATCTTTACAATATTATTATGGTATAAATTATTCTGGTTCTGCTCACTTCATTTTGTATCAGTTCACAAGAGAATTCCCAGGTTTTTCTAAAACCATCGCCTTTATAATTTCTTATAGCACAATAGTATTCTATCATATTCATATACCATAATTTCTTTAGCCATTCTTCAGTTGATGGGCATCCCCTCAGTTTCCAATTCTTTGCCACCACAAAAGAGCTGCTACAAATATTTTTGTACATGTGAGTCTTTTCCTCTTTCTCCGCTCTCTTTAGGTTGTAGACTTAGTAGCAATATTGCTGGATCAAAGGGTACATGCACAGTCTAATAGTTTTTTGGGCATAGTTCCAAGATGCTTTCTAGAATGGTTGGCCTAGTTCATGGCTCCACCCACACAGCACATTAGTGTACCTATTTTCTCACATCCTCTCCAGCAAGTCATTTTCCTGTTTTTTTTTTTCCTGTCATACTCAATTTAATGTGTATGATGTGGTACCTCAGAGATGTTCTAATTTGCACTTCTCTTAATGATTTAGAGCACTGTTTTCATGCGGCTTTTAATAACTTGAGTTCTTTGAAAACTGACTATTAATCTTTTGATTTTTTATCAAAAGAAGAAAGACTCTCTTGTAAATTTGACTCAGAAATAAAACATTTATCACAGAAATTTGCTGCAAAGATTTCCCTCAGTTCCTTACTTTTCTTTTAATTTTAGTTACATTGGCTTTGCTTAAGCAGAACCTTTTTAATTTCATATAATCAAAATTATCCATTTTACCTCTTATGAACCTCTTTTTCTCTTATTTGGTAATGAACTTTCCCCCATCCATAGATCTGACAGGTAATTTGTTCCCTAATCCTAATTTGCTTATAATGTCACCTTTTATGTCTAAATCATTCACACATTTTGAGTTTATCTTGGTATGCAGTGTGAGACACTAGTCTATGCCCAGTTTCTGTCAGACTACTTCCCAGTTTTCCCAGCAGTTTTTGTCAAATAATGAGTTCTTGCCCTAATAGCTGGGATCTTTGGATTTATCAAATACCAGGTCACTGTGCTTATTTGCTTCTGTATGTTATGTACCTAATTCATTTCACTGATCAGCCCCTCTATTTCTTACCAAATTGTTTCAGTGATTACAGCTTTGTAGTATAGCTTGAGATCTGGTACTCCTAGGCACACCCATTGTACCCTCCCCACTCTCCCCCCTAATTCCCTTGATATTCTTGATCTTTAATTCCTCCAGATTAATTTTGTTTTTTTTCCTAGCTCTACAAAGTAATTCTTTGTGTGTTGATTGGTATGACACTGAATACATAAATTAATTCTGGTAGTATTGTAATTTTTATTTTATTGGCTTGGCCTATTCATGAACAATGAACATTTCTCTAGTTACTTAGATCTGTATTTATTTGTATAGAGAGTGTTTTGCTGTGTTCATAAACTTCTTGTGTGTGTCTTGGCAAGTAGACTTCTGAGTATTTTATACTATCTGCTGTTATTTTAAATGGAATTTCTCCAACTCTTCTTTCTGGATTCTGTTGGTAATATATAGAAATGATGATGATTGATGTGGGTTAATTTTGTATCCTGCAACTTTGCTGAAGTTAATTGTTTTTGTTAGCTTTTTACTCTCTAGGGTTTTCTAACTATCATATCTGCAAAAACGATAATTTTCTTTGTTGCCTATATGTATTCACAACTTCTTTTTGTCATAATGCTATACCTTTCATTTCTAGTACAATATTGTATAAAATTGTAATAATGGACATTCTTGCTTCACATCTGACCTTACTGGACATGCTTGCTCTTGGTTTTAGGTATATTACTTGTCATTTTAAGAAAAGCTCCATTTATTCCTATGTTTACTACTGTTTTTAATAGGAGTGAGTGTTGTATTTCGTCAAAAGCTTTTTCGTGTATCTATCAAACTAATCATATGTTTTTCACTGATTTTATTTTTAATATGGTCAATTATGCTCATAGTTTTCCTAATATCGAACCATCCCTGCATTCCTGGTATAAATCCAGCCTTGTCCTAGTGTATGATCTTTGTATTTTATTTCCTTAATGCTAATGCAAAAAATTTAAATAAACAGAGCTCTTGGAAGTCTTCGAATCCAACCCCCTAATTTTGCAGTTGAGGAAAATGAGGCCCAGAGAAGTTAAGTGACTTGCCCAGGGTCACACAGTCTCAGTTTCCTAGTCACAAACCCACTCCTTCAACACTCATTCTCCTCAATTCTTTTCCCCAAGCTGTTTTTACCTAATCCTCGGTCGTCCTCACTGCTATTCACCCTCGATCTCCCGGTCGGCGCATCTTGCTCCATCACCACTTGCCATCTCCAGCTCCTCAACCCCTTCCTCTCTGCATCCCTGTGTCTAGCATCGGAAAACACATCGGCCAATAGGTAGAGAGCTTTTTACTGCTCGGGCTCAAGTTCACCAATCAGAGCACAAAGAGGCGGCTCTTCTGAATGAGGATTGGTGCTAGAGACTAACGCCTTTTCATCGTCGTGAGCGTGTTTGCTGTGGAAGAAGCCGCTTCCGCCCGGCCTAGCTTGGCTTCTGGGAGGAAGGGGACCACTTAGTTCTTTCCATCCTTCCGGGATCCTGTCCCGCCTCCGGAAGTTTGGTTCTGTCCCCGCCCCGGGTCAGGGGTGAGAGGCCGCAGAGTGGCCCAGGCGCACTGGGGTAAGTGATGCGCTGCCCGAGGTCTTATCTGGTATCCACTAGGGAAGAGATTTCCCCCCCCTCCCCGACCCCCTCCACCCCCGGCGTCCACCGCTTATGAGGCCCGGCCGGAAGAAGCGCGACACTTCCGGCTCTTGCTTTAATTCCCCCGCGCCAGAGGGTTCCTCGGTGGGTGTCCCCATGTAACCGGCTTCTGCAGCGTCGGGCCAGGAGATTTGAACCGAGCAGACCCGTCGTTTCGCCTTTGGGTTCGCGGTGTGTCCCTACACCTGGACCCCACGCGTGTCCGCGCCCTGGGGACGTCTGTGTCTTCCTTCCCGAATTCTTCCCCACCGGAGTGTCACTCCCTCCTCTCAGAGTCACCGTCTGCCTTCTGTCCTCCCCAAGCCACTTCCCCGCCCCAGGTTTCCTTGTGTCCAAGCCGGGCCCTCCCTGTGCCCTTCCTATGCCCGAGGATGCCCCCTTTCTCCTTACGAATCAAACCGGCTCAAGCTGTTGTCTTCCCCCTCCCACACTTTGAACCCTTTGGGAGCCCCAGGACTGCTCCAGCACCAGCTCCTAAAGCATCACCTGACTTCTGAGCTGTTCAAGCCCCCCCTCCCCCTCTTTCCCAAGACCATTCTGAACCTCTGGTGGAATTTTTGGGACTCCAGCCAGAGAGGTCAGTGGGAGAAATGGAAGGTTTTCACATTGTCTTTGGTGCTTGAGTCCCAAAGCACATTTCTCTCTCCTTCCTTCCTTCCTTCCTTCCTTCTCACTCCCTTCCTTTCCTTCCCTCTTCCTTTTTTCCTTTCCTTCCTTCTCTTCCCTTCCCATCTGAGTCCTAGTGTCCCTAACCTCTATGGCTGATCTCATGTTAATTCACTCTTTTCAGGAAGAACCAGAAAAGTTGACAATCATCTGTTGGGTCAGAATGTCAGGAATCGGCAATAAGAGAGCTGCTGGGGAGCCTGGTACTTCTGTACCTCCAGAAAAGAAGGCTGCTGTTGAAGACTCAGGGACCACAGTAGAAACTATTAAACTAGGGGGTGTGTCTTCCACGGTAAGTATGCCAGATACACACCTTCTTTACCATTTACTAAATACTTTTTGAATACTTCTTATGTGCTAGCCACTGTGCATCATACAAAGGTGAATGCAATCCAGCTTTTGTTCATGATATTATAATCTAGTAGGAAAAATAAGCCTTTTTTACAAATAGTTGAAACAGCTCCACAGGACTGTGGAAGATGAAATTTTTTCAGGGTGGGGGAGTGGGGTATATGTAACTGAGGGTTTTATGTGTAATGAGAGTTAGTACTTGTGAGCCTTGAAGGAAGAACAGGTGGAAATTTCAAGAATAAAGTCATAGACCAGAAAATAGAGCAGCTAGGTGGCACAGTGGATAGAGATCTCAGCCTGCTTCCCAGGGTTGTTCTCAGGATAAAAATGAGATATTTGTAAAACATTTTGCAAATCTTAAAGCACTATATAAATGCTAGTGATTAGCTATTATTAATGTTTAAAAGATTCATGATTCTTCAGGGTGTAGGGAGGAATGTAGAAGAGAATATTCAAGAGTTTCTATGGGAAAAATACCATCACCCTGGAGCCAACCTGGTGATTAAACCTCTCCAAACTTAGCTAGGCTGGTTCCTTCACCACGGACATATAATATAGTCAGTCCTTGAGTCTGTGTTTGAAGCCTTTCTAGATTCTCTTCCAGCCCTTTATTTTAACTCTGCTTGTGTTCAGTTTTAACTGTGTCTCTTTTACACAGTGTATTGTTGGATTCAGGTTTCTAATTCATTCTATTATCCACTTGTTTTTTATTGCTTAGCTCATCCCATTCCTATGAGAGTAAGGCTCAAGCATAGCCACTCCCCCCCATTTTCCCCTCCACTATAAAAACTCTTACATGCTTCTTTTATGTAAGGACAATTTTCTCCATTTTGTCTCTCCTTTCCCCCTTCTTCCAGTGAATCACTCTTTGTCACCCCTGTATATTTTTTTGGAGGTCATCCCAACATAATATACTCATGCCTGTGCCTGTGCCCATGTAGACTCCTTCTAACTGCCCTAATAATGATAAAGTTCTTAGGAGTTATATTTATCATCTTCCCATGTAGGAATATAAATAGTTTAACTTATTGAGTCCCTTATGATTACTCTTTCATGTTTACCTTTTTATACTTTTCTTAAGTCTTGTGTTTGAATGTCACATTTTCTATTCAACCCTGGTCTTTTCATCAGGAATACTTGGAAGTCCTCTATTTCATTAAATGTTTATTTTTTCCTCTGAAGTATTATATTCATTTTTGCTGGATAGGTTATTTTTGATTGTAATCCTTTCCCCTTTCCCTTCTAGAACATCATTTTCCAAGCCTTCTGCTTCTTTAACATGGAAGCTGCTTAATCTTGTGATCCTTACTATGGCTCCATGATATTTGAATTGTTTCTTTCTGGTTGCTTGTGATATTTTCTCCTTGACATTTGATATTTATATTCTGGGGAGTTTTCATTTTGGTATTGCTTTCAGGAGGTGCCTGTTAGATTCTTTCAGTTTCTATTTTGCCGTCTGGTTCTAGGATATCAGGACAGTTTTCCTTGATAATTTCTTGAAATATGATATCTTGGCTCTTTTTTTTTTTTGATCATGTTTTTCAGGTAGTTCAATAATTGTTAAATTATCTATTCTAGATCTGTTTTCCAGGTCATTTGTTTTTCCAATGAGATATTTCACATTTTCTCTAATTTTTTTTTCATTATTTTGAATTTGGTTTGTTGTTTCTTTTTTTTTTATTTTTGGCTAGGCAATGGGGTTAAGTGACTTGCCCAGGGTCACACAGCTAGTAAGTGTTATGTGTCTGAGGCCAGATTTGAACTCAGGTCCTCCTGAATCCAGGGCCGGTGCTCTATCCACTGTGCCACCTAGCTGCCCCTGGTTTGTTGTTTCTTGAAGTCTCATGGAGTCATTAGCTTCCACTTGCCCAATTCTAATTTTAAGGTATTATTTTGTGTACTATTTTTTTTGGTCTCTCTTTTACTGAGTTGTTAAATCTCTTTTCATTATTTTCTTTCATACCTTCCATTTCTTTTCCCAGTTTTCCTCTACCATGCTTAGCTCTTTCAGGAATTCTTGCTGGCCTTGAGTCTAATTACCACTTTTCTTCAAGGCTTTGTTTGTAGCTGTTTTCATATTGTTGTCCTGTTCTGAGTTTATGTCTTGGTCTTCCCTATCATAGTAGCATTTTATGGTCACATTCTTTTTTCCAGCCTGTTTCTTGACTTTGAACTGTATATTAAATTTGAGCTCTGCTCACCTGGAGGTGGGGAGGCACTGTTCTAAGCTTTAGGCTTTTTAGTGCTACTATTTTCAGAGCTAGTTCTGAGGTCTACAAGTTTTTGATAGTGTTGTCTTGGGAGAGGTTTGGTCACTGCTTCTCTGGTCTGTGCTCTGGTCTTTACTCAGGAAGGTTCCTGGCTTCCCTGTGGCCTCAAGTACTAGTGCCTGTACTAGGTTACCTGTTCTCCTCCAGCCACTTCTCTTGGCCCAGAAACTCTGATCAGAGCCCCTGTTCCCTTGGGACCAATCACAAGTGCTCCTCTCTGTTCTGGAGCTACAACCCAGAACTGTTTATAGGCAAGAGAGTTGCCAGTCAGTGCCACCTGTATCCAGTGTTAGCAGAGGGTCCCCTGTAATCTCTTTCTGACTAGCTGTTGAACCCCTTCCCATCTCTGGGCTGAGAGTTCTTGAAGCAACTGCTGCTGCTGCTGTTGTGGTTGCCTCCAAGGCCCACTGCTGGTGTTCCTGCCATGCTCTGGGCCTGCACCCACCCCAGGATTACTGCCCTTTCTTGTGGACCTCCTAAATTGTCTTAGGCTGGAAAAGTACCTCTCTCTGACCTTTTGTTGGCTCTGCTGCTCCAAAATTTGAAGTGTTATTTTAAAGTTGTTTAGTGGGGAATGTTGGTAGTTCCGACCTGTGCTCTGCTGTCTTGGCTCTGCCTCCAGAAACAGTGGAGATAATTTAACTTTTGTTTTTTAGAGGAGAGAAAGAGCTGCGGATAAGTAAGAAATGGAGTACCTTGGTGGTGGTGGTGGTGGGGTCCGGCATGGTGTGGAATTGTAAGAATTAGGACTCAGCCTGCCATGGAGTATGAGATGTCTAGCATGGTAACAGTTTAGGACACAGAAACTGGGAAAGGCATTCAACATCAGGTCCTGAAAACGTAGACTAGAGTTAAATTCCTGGAGATAAGATTTCTAATGGTGGTACAGGGGATGTGCAGGTAGATCCCTGTCGAGTTTGTGAGTCAAATCACCAAAAGAAAAACAGCTTCAATTACTAGCTAATAAGGGGTGTACTTGAGACTTAACAACAGAAAAAGATACTGTTCCTAGAGAAATGCAGAGGGCTAATGTCCATTGTCCTTTTCTGGCCTAGAAGGTGGATGCTAGGGTTGTTAGTGTTATTCTGACTTTAGATTCCAGGCCTGGAGGAATAAATGTGGTCTAAAAGAGGAATGATAATGATATATCTGGTGGAGTTGTTCAGTACTTTAACTTTCAGCTCTCAGGAAACTATATAATATGAGTTTGTATATATGTAATTTTGGTCACTTTTACACAGATTGTACCCCCAAGGTTCCCTCATATTGTAGTAAAGTTATTCATTTGAATTGACTATGTTGAACTGAAGTGGACTGGATCAGGAAGAGGGGCACCTCCAGAGAAGAAGGAAGAGGAGGGAAAGACAAGGATCTAGA